CAACCACAACCACAACTACAAACACACAATCACAAAGGCACAACCGCAACCACAACCACAACTACAAACACACAATCACAACCATTACCACAACCACAAACACACAACCACAAACACACAACCACAAACACAACCACAACCACAACACAGCACACAACCACAGCACACAACCCGAGGACCCACAAGCAACATCGAGAACTACAATACTAACGACTATGGCAACATGCTCCTCACTATGGCATCAAGACAAATGATTGAAATGTCATGGTGGGGATCACTCGAAGTAAAGTAATTTGAGCGCTATAGAATCAGAGCACGGTGTGAGTGAGTTAGGGCTAGAGTTAGGGTTAGAGTTAGAGTTAGAGTTCTAGGTGGTCCAACACCCTCGGATGAGAATTCTATTGAACCAGCGTCAGGCGCGCCAGCCAAATAGGCAGGTGAAGCTCTGTAGGACTCTTTTCATGCTGCTGGATTCTGATCATACTGGTCTCCTTGACCTGGATGAGTTTGTCTCGGGCTGCATGCAGCTTCACGGGCCTGCCAAGAGCATCCAGGCGCAACGCAAAGATGTGTTCAGTCACTTGCCCACAGTTCCGGGCTTAGCGACACATGATTTGATGATTGGCTCTGATCTGCGATGCTACAGGTTGCCAAAATGAGCTATGAGAACAAGCCACCCGGATCATGAAAACCGCGCTTAAAATCGGCAAGGCCCTTTTGCCATGTGGCGTTTCTGAGGCTCACCCGGTCAGCAATCAGAAGCTTGAGCAAGGCCTGCCTGCGTGGTATTTTCGAAGAAAGAAAGCCCGAAAGAAAGAAAGGAAGGAAGGAAGGAAGTAAGACCGATTTGTTGGTTGAAACGCAAAGATTTAAAAATTAACATTTCCCAAAACGAGGTCCCCGAGCAACCTTCTTTAATATTTTCTACAACATTTGCACCCCCAAGCAAAATCCGACATAAGAATTGGGATGGCCCGCCAATCAAGACGAGACGCAACAAAACCTATTGCTGCACACGCAGGTTGTTGTTTTTGTTTGCTAGTTTTGCTTGTTGCTGGTCCCCACAAGCTGGCGCGCGGTTCTTGTGATGGGCTGTACATACTCTCATGCCGCCTCCTGCACCTCTCACACAATCACCTGCTTGAGACAAGCACACACACCACCACCACCACCACCACCAGCCAGTAGGCAACGCAGTGAAGTCCACCCAGCGGTTTTTGATCCTAGGGATTCCAACGCAACTGTTGCAATAGCGGCAGCAGGACTCACACCCCTCTTGAAACCGGGAGCCTTGCGGAGCAGGCCTTGAGGCGGGGCGCCCCACGTCTTCTTTTTCGGACAGCGTAAGTCACGAATTTCAATTCTGCGCCTGTAACCTAGAAAATTTGCAACTCTCGAGGCAAGTCTGCAACTGCATCGTGAAGCCGTTCACTTGTCCCGTCAAATCGCTTGTTTTGCCGTGTCCAATTTGTGGCGGTTGAGACCGGTTGCACGGTGGCAGGTGCAAGTATGCCTCATGCATTTTGGTTCTTTGTTTTCTGGGGCCTATGCTACTCTGTTTCTCTATCCAGGCCTGGCAATTGTTCACCTGGACCTGGAAACCTGAACACGTGGAGCTTTGGGACTAGATTCTGGTCGCCGCCGTTCGCCTGAAACCTTGGACCAGTCAAAAACTTGCAACTCTGACACATACAGGTTTGACGCAACTTTTTGCCTGGAACGTCGTGACTTTGGAGTCCTGATCCCAGCACATTGTTTGCATTGCCCCTGCTCGTGTGCGTTGCGAAGGGCTTTTCTGTAGAAATCTTTTGCGTAACGCAGGGAGGCGCTAATACACTTGTTTGCAAATACATTTGCAACTTATACAGCTGTAGTTGGATGTATGCTACACCAGGTATGCTAGAAGTACATCTGCAGCTTGCAGGTATGGTTGTGTAGAGCTGCTGCTACGCCAGCGTTGCTTTGGGGCTGGGGCTTTGATTGGTGAGTTGACTTGGCGGATAACTTTCGCTAGCATTGCTTTGGTGCTGGGGTCTTGCTTGCTTACGTGTTGGGATCTTACGCAAAGTCAAGGGGTCTTGCCTAAGTAAATTCATATAAGCAAAAATAGGTACAACTTTCGCAGCGGTCTTGCTTCAGGAAACACATATGCAGAAAAGTAAACGCATGTTATAATATGGTTAAAGTCAAAAATATGTTTGTTCGCGCGCGCGTGATATATCTCGGCTATTTGTCTCTTGGGGCCTGGCCGATGGAAAGGGCTTGCGAACATGACCCTCTGCGGAAATCGCGCTTCGAGTGCTCAAATGTGTGGTGATTGTGAACTCTGCAGGGATCGCGCGTGTCGAGTGCTCAAACGTGTGGTGAAATTCGAATTCGGATTTGGTCCGAGGCGCCCCTCTGCGGAGATCGCGCGGGTCGAGTGCTGAAACGTGTGGTGGTTTGGCGTGGCCACGGTGAGAACTCTGTGGGCAGATCGTTCGTTTCAAGTGCTATAACGTGTGGTGAAATGCAAATTTGGCTGCCAAAGTGTGAACTGTAGGCGCCAAAGTGTGGAACTGTCGTCGCAAATGGCGCCGGAAGCTGGACGTTGGTAATGTAAGCGGTATCTGGGGTTGTAGGTTGGAACCCTTATGGATGGCAAGGGCGAACCCACCCGGTCCTGCCGGTCCGGCGTCTCAGCGATTGCGAGCTATCGTTGAAAGGCCTTGTGCGCGCGTAAACCGCTATCACAAGCGGAGAGTTCGACTGTTGGCAATGATCTCTTGTCATTGGTATGTCTCAGAAATTTTGCGCACACAAGAAGGAGGCAGTAGTGAAGGTTGTCAACGTGGAGGTGGAGGTTTGTAACTGTCGCTCTGGGAGCTGTGGCGCGAAAAGTGGCCAGTACAAATGTAGCGCGGGAAGCAGCTCTAAAACCTGCGGCCAAAGCTGGCCACTCGGACTTGGTAGTCCGGTAGTACAAATGTAGTGCGGGAAGCAGTTCTGGGGGCAGTACGGGAAGCAGCTCTGGCAGCGGCATCAGAACTGGCCACTTGGTAGTGCAAATGTAGTGCGGGAAGCAGCTTCTAGGAGGTCTGGCCTGAGAACTGGCCACTTGGTAGTGCGGAAACCGCTTCTAGGAGCGCTGGCCTGAGAACTGGCCACTCCATTGTACAAATTCCGTTTGTGATGTTGCTGTGCTGCGCGGTTTTGCGCAGCCACGGTGGAAAGTTCGTACGCGCTTGGCGGCGCCCACGATGCTGAATGTCACATTGTTGTATCCATGTATACAGTCTGCGGCACACTGCGTGGCCAAATTCCGTCGGTGATGTGGCTGTGCCATGCGGTTTTGCGCGGCAATGGTAGAAGCGGGTTTGCGTGATTGTCACTATTGTTCGTGCGGTTGTCCAGGACATTGATGCTATCAAGTATTGCCTTGGGCAGCTGCCAGCCCCCCTGCCCATGCTGGAGGAAACTGAGGATGCAACAGACGTTTCAATTTGAAGTGTCGGCACTTCTTTGCATTTTGTTCATGCAATTGTGCGGCCATTGGGTTTGGCAGATTCCTTCGATACCATGTTCCCGCCCTGGATTTGACCAGAAGCCCAAAGGGCCGGTCAAAGGTAGAACAGATTCAGCCTAGGCAACCTAGACTGCAAGGTCTTTACGGCCCCAATTTTGTCTCACTCCTAGCTGGCTTTCCAGATCTGGAGGCCAGCATCGACGCCGAATCGCCGACAACGAGCAAAGCGTAGTAAGCCAGGACTGCAACGTACGGGTTTGTGACGTCCTTCGAAAGAAACTATATAAGGGAGTAACCGTTTGCCCATAATGACTCCACATTCCTTACGACAACATGACGGATTTGCCTGCCAATGCTAGTGCAACTGCTAGTGTATCGGAGTTCGCGTCGGGAATTATGCAATCCAAAGCGCAACAAAACGCCAAATCTAGAAGAAAAAAACACGACAACTGTCAGAGAACCACCTTTGAATGATGCACCATGATTGGTTCGTTCAGCAGCACTTCCTGAAGCCTATATAGCCAGAAAAAATGCCTACAATGGATTTGCAGTGAATTCAGTCCATATCTTATATATTATGTTTGATTCAGTCCGCAGGCTCAAGCCCAGCCGAAGTTACGGAGCACTGAGATCAGAATTCGGAAACAACCAGAGTCTACTCACAGTTTGTTCGTCCAATCACTTGAGTGTGTGTGCGACCTCCGCTTGAAACACCTGGGAAACTTTGTGTACTTTATGAGTGTATTCTACTGAAGCCCGGTTCATTCACCAAATCCTAAAGCTACTCCCAGCTTTGTATTTGCAGCATTTCTCGGCAGGGTGCTATGAGCCTAACACCCAAATTTCCTGCCACCACAAGAAGGACCAGACACTTGTTAAGTAGTATATTTAATATATTTGGATGTGGAGGTGCTGATCTCAAGGCTTGGACTTGGCGAATGGAAACTAAAGAGTTCTGACTATTACTGAAGATGTTGAAGGATGTTGGAAACCATGAAACCAGAAGTGCAAATGCAATTTTTGCTCGCTGCAGGCTTCGTGGGTTTGGCGATGAAAGCTGAGCCGAAGAGTGCATCTGACAGATCTTCTATTTTCAATGGTCTCCATGCAGGAGCAGCCTCCATCAACCTGGAAGATGAAGACGAAACTGTGGGAACGACGCCTGTAGGAGGCTTGAGTGCGTTTCAGTCATGTCTTTCATGCAGAAACGCAGGGGGAACAAAGGTTTCGTTGCATTAGAAGATTGACGTTTCGCGATTTTAAAAGGTAGATTAACAATTTGCTTCTGTTTGGCGCTATGCACAAGAGAGCCCCTTTGCGTCATTGCTTCGTGAGGCCGCTCGGTCTCCCAGAGCTCAATCCTTGTTTTGCCGAATGAGCTGGAGGACTGTGCAGAACAGCTGAGAGGATTCGCCTCGACATATTTCCTTTGTGAGCGAAGCATGCCTTTGGCTGCTCGCACTGCTGACCGCCTTTGGAAACTCTCTCAGCTCGACCCCTGCCCCAAGCTTTTGGCTTCAGATGTGGCTGAGATGAGTTGCCGGAAGCTCTTGAACATAGCCAAAGATAGTTTTGAGCTCTTTTGGCAGCCTCAAAACTACGAACAATTTGCTCATGATGACCCTTCTAGTTTGCGCTGCCTTCGAGGCAAGGAGCCGGGCCCATTACTGTGCGTCCGCTACATTGGCCGTCGCGACAAACGCACACAACGCGTCCGACCCTCTGACATTGTCAGGTGCGAGCTGCAGTGCCGAAGGCGCTTGTTAGAGTTGCTGGGGCCAGAAAGCAAGGAAGCTGCCAGTGGAGTTGCCAGTGGCCCTGCGGACACGAATACTTTGGTGATAGCTCCAGTGGAGATCCCTGCACTTTCAGAGCCAAAAGCTGGCCCAGCAGCAAGGGCGGCACGGGCACAAGCAGCGTTGGATCGAATCCCAAACGTGTCGCGTGATCCTTCAACTATGGAGACGTTTGGTGGCATGGATTTGGTGGATGCTTTGAAGGAAGAGCCGTGGTATCGTGGCCAGGTGGTTCATGTGAATCAGACCGGTGCACGAAAAGCTATCTTTTTGGAACCCAAGGTGGCTCTTCAGCCTGTTCTCAAAGAGGTCTTGAACCGGTCCCTGTTGAGCGGCTCTTCAAGCTCTTCAGCATCACAGAGTGGCGTTTTGAAACTCTACAGCCATCAAGCTGAAGCCATTGATGCCATTCTGTTGGAACGGCGGGATGTGATTGTGAGCACTTCCACTGGCAGTGGCAAGTCGTTGATTTATATGATCGCCATTTTTGAAGCGCTACTCAAAGAAGAAGATGCCACGGCCATTCTGATCTTTCCCACAAAGGCCTTGGCACAGGACCAACTAAGAGCCTTGACAGATGTCGCAGATGCTTTGATCCAACTGGGGGTGCCAAAAGAGAAGCTGACCTTCGCCACATTGGATGGAGACACACCGCAAAAGGAACGACAGAAGATCCGAAGAGAGACACGGGTCGTTTTGACGAATCCAGATCCTCACCAAAATCCTGCAACAGTGTGCTATTGAAAGTGTGATGGAAATAAGATAATAAGATATATACATTGGATTTCTGGTGCTTTTGAACACTGGAACTTCACAGTGCAACAACAAGAGCACCCAGCTTAGAGATAACGGAAGAATGTCTATAGGGGAAGAAAGGACGGAAGAGAAACATAAAGAGAACGTGTCCTGGAGCCCTAGGACATGCTACACAGCCACGTGTTGCTGCAGCATGTGGAGTACGCCCATTTGCTGCACAACGCTCGCTATGTCGTCTTGGACGAGGCACGAAATGGAACTAAAGGTGCTCTAGAGCCAGCGCCAAGGAGTTCAACGATAGGTATCGGGGCAAATGCTCATTAAATGAATGAAGCGCATTTGGGCTCAGGTGGCCGGAGACACAATTCCAACAAGCCTGTCAAACTATCAGAATTATGTCTTGCAAGTTTGAATTTCAATCTCAGAAGCATCCTTGATTTGCCTTGAATATATCGCCCATGCTGGCCCATGCTTGCATGTTCCTGTTAATCCCAAGCATGAGAGGGAACTGCGATCCTGCAAATGAGTTCCTTTTCCATCCATGCAACGAGGCTCTAAGTGGCGTGTACGTAGGATGTTGATGGCTGAGAGTTTTCACATGCTTTCAACCTGCTGGGTGCAAAGAGTGCTGTCTTCAGCACCTCTTTGTAGGTTTCTCCATCCAAACTTGAATCGAATGAATCAGACATGCAGTTGTTCCATTCAGCAAATGAGTCCTTTTCAAAATTATCGTCATTTACTTTATACAAGGGCGTTTCATCCAAGAGTGTGATTTGGGGGTTTCTTTGGAGAACGATATGGGACGTCCAAAAAAACGATACCTCTATTGTTACATGCATTAATAGTTCCTTGAGTATTTGGAGTTCATGTTGGTATGTCGTCCTGCTACAGCAACTCTTCTGAGCATTTGTGCTCAAGGGTCTGAATGAAGGGCATCACTTCATGAACTGGTTTGTTCTTGCAAGTGTCACAGGCAGCTAGGGATTGTGATTACTTGTGTTTGAAGGGCTGTGTCCTGGCTTTTGGCTCATGGGCTGGCCCCAGCCTATGAGGAAAGGCTAGGCTCTGGAACAAGGTGCACGCCTTTGTCCACCTGTCTTGGTTTGGAAAGGGGTTGCTTTCTCTTTGGTGTAGCGTGAGCGCAGCGCGTGTGCTTGCAAGAGCAGTTTGATGCCATAAAACACAATATGGCAACATCAAAAACAACACCCCAAACCGATACATACAGCGCCAATTCTACCAAGCACTGTAAAACGAGACGTGACGTCCTAACTTCTTGGATGAAAACAGCATAAGCAAGCAATTTAGAAAACATTTCAAGTCAGATGAACCACATTGGCATCGCACTGGGCTCACTTTACTTTGGCTACTCACTGTCCCCCTGCAGCTTTCCAAGCCTTTTTTGGCGCTGCAGGCCCACGTGTATCGGGGAGCTTTTGGCGCTCATGTTTGCAGCGTCATGCGAAGGCCTTTCCGCTTTGACCCCATGGCGATGTAGTCTGGGACTGTTTGGAAAAGTCGAAAAGCAGTAGCAGCATAGATGGGGTTTTGAGTTCTGTGGGGTGAGGCTCAGGCGCCTGGTGGAACCGAAGTCCTTGCAATTTATTGCCTGCTCAGCAACAGCCACTCGGCATGCCCTTTCCCTGAGAATGGGAGTTTTATGTTGCCTCTCGCCAACGCGATTTTTCTGTGTTGGATTTGTTGTTGAGCGAACTTGCTACTTGTGCCGGAAGCTGAGCTAACTGTATTCAATTTTCCTTTTGCGAAGCTCGTGCCAAGCTTTGGTCAATGATTGGTTTAGGTTGCTAATCCTGGAGAGCACCTTCAACGTCTCCTTGGGCAAGAGCCGCAAGTGGTCTCCAAGGATGGTTCACCCAGTGGCGGGCACATCTACGTCATGTGGGACCCGTTTTGTGGCGCCTGGGACAAACAAGAGCAGTCAGTTAAACAGCGCAGGTGTGGTCACCTCGCCAGGCGTAGAACAAAATACCATATTTACAGCTTTAGCATGCTAGGGTGTCCACCTAGAATTTCGAGGCATTGTTTTTTGAAAAGGCGTTGAAAAACATGCGAGATGTCAGTGGGGCAAGTTATATTTCCCGTCATTACTTGCATAATCAAGAATGAACTTTGACGGCCACATTGTCGGGCACAAGGTTGCAAGGAGCAAACGCAAGTTGTGTCAAAATGTTGAATGAGACAGTGGTGCAACCTGTGCTGCATGCAACCCTTGTAACGGTTGACCTCATGACCATGGCAGTGTGCCTACTTTGCACGACACGATGCTTTGGCGGTCAAACTTCACAATTTACAGGGGCCTGATCGTCCAATGCTACGAGGTTTTTCTCTTCTTGCTGCCTGTAGGGCATTTGTTTGGTCATGTGGAACTGACCAGGAACTACGTGTCTCTGCAAATAATGTTCTATATAAATGAGCCGATGTCAATTTACAAACTCTAATTTGGGCAGGTCCAAGCAGAACATGTTCGAGCGATTTTTTCGGAGCCGTAATTTGCTGCTACCACGCCCTAGCTCAGGCCAAGCTCAAGTGCCTCAAAGCAATCCCCCGGCCAAACGGCTGAAGGTTGACGAGGTGGAAAATCAAGCTTGCAAGCTGCATTGTGGAACATCATAATGATCATGGCAGATGTCTTCATCATTGTGACATGCAAGTGGCACACGTTGCTAAAATGCAAATCAAGCAGATATTGGCAAACTATTGCAAAGACACGCCGCCTTACAAGAATTGCGTGAGGACGCAAACGTTTGTGCAGCAGTCGATGGAGAGGAGGTGAGCAGCGTTCTAAATTCACCCTTTCTTTTTAGTCAGGGACCGGCGAAAAATCAGTGAACATTGTGATTTTAGCTGATGCTTGTAAGGTGTCCGTAAGGTTTGTAAGGATGTGCAGACTTGAACGATGCCGGAAGGCTACCGGAAGCGACACTTGTTGATTTGTCCTTTCTTGTTTTGCAACAACATTTCATAATATGTGACCATAGTGGACTTGCATACCTTCGCCGTAAGCACAATGTAAGAATAGCCATGCATACATGTGTCACTGTAAGCAAAAGATAGAAGAACGTAAGCTTTGCGTAAGGCCTACCGTAAGGTTTGATTTCTCGGCAAGAAAAGACACAATTTTGAACACCGCTCAGGTGAGTTGAAAGGTTGTGTTGTGAAGGGTTATCGAGGAATCATGCAGGCACGGTCTTGTCGAGAAAGGCTTCCATTGCGATCATGATCAGGGCATTACAGCATCCAAAAAGATGACAACAGCATACAAAAGCGTGGTGATTTTTCTCTTTGTTTCAGCGTCGCTTGAGGAGATGCTTACTTCAGCCCCGCAGCTTGCAGCGTCGCCAATCGTGGAAGTGACACGGCTGCTAGCTTGGCTCGTTTCCCGTGGCTTGGTTGGATCATTTGGCTTGGTCAGAGTGCTCTGATATCCGATATCCACATGACACGGCTTGGTCCTGCGTATGTTCGTCTCAGCAATTCTCCAAGCATGAGAACTTGTGAATTGCGTTTCTTGAAGGCAAGAAGAAAACCGAGTAGCCGCATAGGTGGACACCTACCTACCCCAGAAGACGAAAGAAATAGAAGAGAGAAACGCAATGACGGCCATGAACCGGCAGCACGCCAGACCAGGAAACCCACATGACGTCATTTGCATCAATTGTTTGTATATCATTGCATGTCCAATCGACTCGCACCATGCACACATGGTGCGCATTTATGATCGAAGCCCGGCCGCCCTGGCTCCTTTTTCGACCGCACGATGCCAACTTCTAGAACGGATGTGCCAAAGAATTGACCATTCGTGCTCAGCTTCCATGCGTGGTCTGGTCCTCGTCAGACAATGCTTGGTTGAGCACCCAGTGCTTCACTCCCAATCACGGTAACCAAGCGCAATTTTGGTGCGTCATCCCCTGCTATGTTTGCGCTGTATGATGCACATCCACCACACCGCAATGATCAGAGCAGTTTCAAAGAAGCTCCCTGTTTTGAGCTTTTGCTTTAGCCTACTGGCTGAAAAGGTCCCGTCAGAATCGCCTGTTACCCTGGTAACCCATGAAAAAGAAATGGTGATGCTACCAAGCCGTTTGCATTTTGCACACTGCCACCTCAGTGCTTGTAGGACTGGGCTGCAAAGTGTGGCTAGGGTGAACGGGTATATAATTGATTGCGAAGGCTCAAGCACACAATTGGGCCTGCTGGGGGCGCGATAAGCCAGCTAATGCGGGCGTCAGGGCAGGATCAGTGTCTTCCAGAACCTTCCAAAAAGCGGTGACAGAGGTCCACGGATCAATAATTAATCTTCCAACACCTATCATCAATCCACTGCACAATTCTACCCTTCTCGACTTTTGACCTCTCTCACCTGCCGTCTGATCAACCGCCTGGTTCATCTGGTGTTGCCAAAGTTCCAGTTAACTACGTACCATGGATGGCCTGAAGTTCCTGCCAGTTCTTTTGAGGTTTGGTCCAAGAGAAATGCATGTGGGCTGTCCTGGTTCACACCTGCGGGGCATGTTGAAGAGGAATCCACATGTCATAGTTCCTGGAACTTCGAGGCGCTTGCAATTCGATGTCCATGCTGCAGAATACAATTATCGATACTTATAGCACATCAAGCGGTCACACGGATGCTGCTGTTCGCCCTGCCAAAAGTGGTGCGTGCTAAGTTTCGCACTTTGTGCAGCTTTCAATGCCTTTCATTCGGCACGCGTCGAGGCAACGTGTCATGCTTGGCATTTTGCAAGTGGCGCAGTTTGGTGGAGATTGTGCTTCAAGACGTGAAGGACGCCCTGAGCCAAAGCGAGGCGCAAAGATGCAGAGTTGAGTTCAACGACCGGAAATTTGGGGATAAGGTCGTACGGTATAGTCCCCATGATGCTGAGCAAAACCCGCTGTAGATTGCATTGCTGTTATAATTCCATGTATTTGCACTATGAATATTCTTATGTTCGATTCTCGCGTGCGTCCTGGAGTGCATACCCTGTATAGGCCAAAAAGCTCTGAACTAAATGCCACCATCAGTGGGAAAAGGACTCAACGGTGCGAAAGCGCATTCTATTGGGCCGTGGCAATGCCACAAACACTCCTGTTCTTAGTCAATGACCCGCCTCTCCGCCTTAGCCTGTTATTAGTCCTAGGGAGGCACTGTGAGGGTGCTTACTGTAGAGCTGCGTTGGGGCAAGCTTTCCGTGTTTTGGTATGATAAGTAACTTGTAGCGAGTGAACGTACCCTTCAGTATTAGTGGGGTATGTTGGTTTGAAAGAAAAAGGTGCCTTTAGTTTCTTGCGGGTGTGCAATGAACCCTTGAAGACAAGACGGCAAAATATACAAGATCCCCCTTAGCCTTGGCATCCCGAGACAAGGCAGCCCAGAGCTGCTGTGTAAACAGACCATTTCGGGAGCCGGAATTTGGGCTCAACCCCCAGGACATTTTGAGTTGCACATCGAAGAACAATGTCAGAATGCTTGCCCAGTGAAGAAGGAATAGCTGTCTGTGAGAGTCCAGCAACACGAGAAAAACGCGCAGTATATATACTGTAGATAGACATGAAGCCGCCATGAACCTACAGAAATATCCTTGCGATGAAAGGTAAATTCAATGACAATATGCACCAACATAGATCTTATTTGGCAGAACGGCATAGGAGGTGGACTGCAGCTAGTTGATGTTGGGATTACCCCTTAGGTCCTTGACGACGTGCGAGGAATCATGCTGCATAATGATGAGGTCCAATCAATCCACCAAGTCACCAAGAACGGGCAATGAGTGCGTTTGTTTACAAAGTGCAGGTACGCTAAGGAGACTCGTCAAGTTATTTTGGACTGAACATATCCGCACGCAAATGATCACAGGAGAAGTAGCACGTGGGCAAGCCACGGGTGGGAGTTCTTAAGGAGAAATGATAGAGATGCCGACGACTGACCTATAGATCAGCAAGTATCCGGTGCACAGCTGCAACGAATGGAAGCATCGCATCATCGCGCCTTGTTTACCTCGCTCCCCTGCGATGTTACGCAGTGTCACGATGTGTCACCTGATTCTCGCACCCTGGTTCTTGCTCGCGGCCTTGGTGTGGTTCACAAATGGAGGGCATTGCATGGGTGCATATTCGAAGGGACAGGTACCTCAGGCAGACAGATGAAAGCACAAAGTTGCAAGATGAGTTCCATAAATTAAGGATTCACAAGTAAGGACGGATCGCTTTTGCCAGTCCAACTGATCGCATGTAGCTGCAGCATTTGTATCTTAAGCTTTTCCATTTCTTGGCGCAAAACTGGGGCAAGAAATTGATTTGCCGAGGCGCCCGAGTTGAGCAAGCGAGTGGTCTCATATCGTGGAGGGTACCCACCACACCTCCGGCGTCAACTGGAGCAAGACATTTTCCGCCGGAAAGTCTTGGGTGTAGCTTGCACAAATGCTTTAGAGCTTGGCATTGACATTGGCAGTCACTCAGGCTGACAGATACGCTTCTTGTGCAGTTTTCAATGTTGTCCCCTTGACGAGGCTCAGAATATGGATTTTTGTTGTCGTTCCCATACAATTAACGTGTAAAACAAAATGTAAAGACGACAGCCAACGATGAAAGCATTCTTTCATTGCTCGGATGCACTTTCTCGGATCGCCTTTGACATTGACATCACTCTGCATTTCTTCAAAGATACTCCGAAATCGTCCAACAACTGCGCCATTGATTAAGGAAAAAGAACCACCACCAACTACCGGGTACTTTGAACTCGTGTTGTGCATAGGAGGGGGCATGTTCCAAGTTTCCACGCCCCTTTGCTTTACTTTTTGTTGTTCACACGGTTCTATCTTAGGAAGAACATGCGTTGTCGAAATCCAATGTATGTTGCGATTCTAACTGTGTATGTTACTGCAATTCTGTTCATGTCTTTTTCTCTTTTCATTTTCACGTCTACTTTTGACCTCGACCGAGGGCTGGACTGTACCCTGTCCTTCGGCTTCCCGGGCTCGGTGGCCTCCTTGCGGCAGCAGTTCGGCCGTGCTGGGCGCAACGGGCGCTTGGGCATCTCCTTCTACGTGACGAGGAGAAACATGAGGACATGTGAAGCCAATAAACAATGTGCTTGGTGAAAGATGGTGTTATTATGTTTTTATACTGATGTTTCGACAGAAATCATTCTTGGGGCTTTAAGGAAAGGAAAGCAAAGGCAAAGTTTAATAGGATGCGAGGCTCCTTTTACATAGGGGAGCTTCTCCAGAACGAACACTACTTATACGAGGGGAAGGTTCCCCGACTTCTGTGGAAAGTATATAGCTCGCTTTAATTATATAGGTGTTTTGATTAATCCTCAATTGACATTCATCAGTGTTGACTTGGAATAACTAGGTCCACCGCCCATAACGGGCCGTGGTGCGAAAGGACAATTCTGATCACCGTGATTGGAATGGACGTAATTAGCTTTGGGGAAGAGTGTTCAGTGTGTTTCAAGGATTGGATGGCGTAATTATATTGAGAAACAATTGTCTTGTGCAATTCCCAGTAGAATTGACACCTCAACATTCAAATCAAGTTGCCCCTAACTATCAAGTGTTTGTAAGTTTTTAGGGCAAGCTCCTGTTCAAACCTTCTGCTTTCAGGCTCCGTGTGCTGTCGGCAATGTTTTCAAAGCTGAGTAGAATTCTTTTGGTGCAGCATGCATCACAGATTGTCGGAAGACAAACTGAAAGATTATGTCTTTCAATGCTGGGTCAAGCTCACACTGACGGGAAATGTGTTTCCCAGCAATCGTTTCAATTCCAGCCACAAACGGTCTAGAGTCTAGAACTTGTGTTCCAGCATCCATATGGAGATGGATGTTCCGAACAAAAGCCTTTTGGTGACACACCGACTCAAAGCACAACCCAACGCCGAAGCAGTGCTGGGCCAAGCAATGATGATGTTTCCGAGCCGCTGGCAGGCCATTTAGCGAAGACACGGTATTCACAAACAAACAATCCTCAAATCATGCATGATCACCACAGAGTTAGCCGAAACCCCAACACGACGAAGCTCTGCGCACAATCCACATACTTACTTGTGCTTATCGCATACTCCGTTCATTTTGCCCTGAGTTCAGCGTGTGCTACTGTAACTTCCACATGACATGTACCATAACCAAGGGGTCACCGCAATCCCGAGTCAAGCCATCTTTACATTGATCTAAAGACAACACGTTCACCGACCACAATGGTTGTAAACAACAAAAACCAGGAGGACAAGACACACCGACCAACCGAAACAACAACACTAGAACACACATGGTCGCGACTTCTTGTGCTTTCATGTACGCCGTCGGCAATGCGGCAATGCAAGAGATGACAAAACCCATGGAAAGGCCATGAAGAACAAAGCACATCCCTGACACATGCGCATGAAAGGAAAGCAATTCACGAGGAATCTACAAACATTGAAGGACCATTTGTAAGTACTTTTCCGGGGAACACTCCGTGGTTAAGAAGATATCCTGCATCCACAAGGAACCTTATTTTCCCAGCCCCACCCGCCACCCCAGAACCCATGTTTATCACACAAAAGATCGATGACGTGTCCGAAAAAGATCAAAAACACCACGGCCCGTTCTGGGAGGTGTTCCAACTACATGGAAGGGAAACCTGAGTGAGGGCTATGACAGGGTACAAATGTTTCATAGTGTTTCTTTATTTTCGACTGTTGGCACAAATGCTTAAGCAGATTTGCTGTCATTGTTGATGCCACCCGTTGAACCCATCTTTGCTTCTCAAGTCCCTGCCACTTTTTCCAGTATTTGCCGTTTAACGATAAGGTCTGAGTGGCACAAATGGGCATCGATCTAAAGGTCCATGAAAGGAGTTTCATATGGAACAGCCATTTCGGTTACTAAGTACCAACCGGGCGAAAGATCGCGAAAGTTAAACACAGGGTTCGCGAAAGTAATCTTTTTTTTCGCGAAAGTTCATGTAACCATGTATGTTATTTGTAGGTAAAGGGACCCTTATTTGTTTGCTTACTGTGATCTTTTCAGACCACCAGCTGTGATGTTGATAACAATATGCCTACATCATGCGATATATAGTTTTCCTTTAACTACTTTTTATACCCATGTACCCGAACTTCTTCTGAATATGTAAGATCATACTTCGCGAAAGTTCGCGAAAGTTAAACATGGGGTTCGCGAAAGTAATCTGTTTTTTCGCGAAGAGGCACTTTCCAGATGAAAGGAATTTAGATCAACCACCAAATCTTGGACACCTCCTTTTCTTGACTTTGCTGCTGCCGTTCCTCGCCGCGTAGTGAATCTGTCAATGGTCACACTATATGTTCAGACCTTGGTGCAAATCATGAACCTCTGATGCACCATGTCATGGGTCAAAGTAGACGAAAAATCCTTGCAGGATGTCAGAAGTGGAAGAACACCAATAAGCTAGATTTCGAGAAGGACCCCGTGGTTGTCAATCCATGCACCCACCAACCTGACATGCACATTAGGGAAGTCATTGCCAGTTGAAGGTCAAAGGCGATTTGTCGATGCAAGGCTAGCGTGAAGAAGCTTTGCCCTCCCCAATCGAGCACCTGTGGCTGGTTGCGAAATTTGTCCAAGGACTGACCTTGCAAAGAGGCACTTTGTGGCTCAGCGTGTGCAGAATTCTGCCGCGGCCACCCAGAGACACGCAAGACGGCCCCAGCTTGGCAGGTTCCACCACTTTGCCAATATGGCATCCGTGAAGGAGCTCCAGAGAGCCCTCCTCTTCTGTGTCATTGAGGCCACCCCCAGTCTGGTCACGGCATGTGCAGAACGAGACCTTCCCATGGTTCTTCCATGCTTTTCCCTTTCCTGCGGCCGCCCATGACCCTGGACTTGCAGGACAAGTTCAGAAGCGGGTCTTCAGCATCAAGCTCTGGGAAAAACTCACCGTGGGATAGACTCCTCCCACTCCCACACGGACTTCCACCAGTTGTCACCTTTTCGGCTTAACTCAACCTCATTAAAGGACGCTCCTCAGCAGTGCTCCCTGGCAAGGCGACTCCATCTCAATGCCTCTATGAGTAGAGTTGAGGTGGCCCCCCCAAAAAAGGTATCATCTCTCACGTCCATTTTGCACCATAGCCCGCCCCGCAAAGAGAAAGCACATCTGAGATGACCGGTTGGACTGTGTTGGCACTGGGTGAATGGCACTGCCGCCTTGCCGGTCAACCACAAACATCCCCCAACGTGGCGAATGTTGACGTCCAGGGGCCCAGGGGAGGTCCGAGCAACCGGGGAAGCCTCAACGCAAGACAAAGGAAAACGTTTCTTGATTCGTTATTGGGAACAAGAAGCTACTAGGGGCTCCTGGCATCGCTACTAGGAGCAAGGACGCTACTAGGGGCTCCTGGCCTTACTACTAGGAACAAGAAGCTACTAGGAGCTTATTTCACCTTGCTGTTGCTTTAGCCGGCCATCCATCGACACTCCCAGTTTGGGCTAGCTTGGCTCTTCAAGAGGAGGTCACGAGAAAGGTGCAAGATTAGTATAATATAAGTAGGTGATATACGGCGGTGTTAGTTATCGGTTTTGTTTGGACTGTCCTTACTACAGTGTTTTTGTGGTTCGTCGGAATTGGTGGCTTTCTTTCTTGGTATATAGTATGCCTTTTGCGTTCATTGCAGTAACTTCTTGGTTTGCACCAAACACAACCTTTCAAACAAAGCACTTAGGGTGCACCCACGCTTGCTCAGCTCAGGTGGCCTTTGAAGACCCTACAGACCAGCATTTCGTGCGAAGACCACGTGAGTTGTTGGCCGCTTCGTGCGAAAAGCATGCTGACAGCTTAGGTGGTTGTAGGATGGGTTCAGAGATCTCGTCGCGTGCTGAGAATCCGAACAGTTGCGCTTGGACATTATTCATTATGGTTGCATGGTCCTCCACAAGAGATACTGTATCCAGCTGAACTCGAATGTTGGCACAGTCATTTGCACAAGGCTCTTGAAGCAGTGCCCGCAAAATGCCCAGCAGCCTCTCCAAGCTGATTCAAAGCAATGTTTGGGGACTCTTGAGCCGATGCAGCCACCAAAAGAGTCAAAAGAGGTCGTTTTCCACTATAATAAAGGGACCCGCGGTTTCAGCCTGCTTTCCAATCGATTCGAAGTTGGCACCGGTTATATACCGTCACCAGAAGCAAACCTACCTCGTTCCTTTGGAAGCCTATTGATTTGGCGGGTTAGTGAATGTTGGCGGTATGAGATGAGGCCCGGCGACCTGAAGCCGTGGCCGTGTGGCCATCCAACGCCGCAGTTCTCCAAGCACAACTGCCTTGTGCAGCGGCTGAGCGACCTTTGGAGGAGGCTGACCAAAGGCTCGTGATTTGTGATACTGGGTGCGGTGTTTTTTAGTGGCAGTTTTAGTGGCTTCCCATGTTGTTCATATGATGCAGATGTTTGCTCTCTACCATTGTATACTCACCCTCTCGTTGCGCACGATCCAGTGAGACGCGGCAACGGCATATGCGTCACGCAGGCGACATATGCATAGACAGACTATACAGCGAGCAACGCTCGAACCCCAAGGGTCAGGACTCCACAACAACAAAAGGTGTCTTCCACGACTCAGTCGTGCGACCGGCACCAGCTTGGAGAGCTAGTGCCAAAGTAAATAAAATGGAATTGGGCATGTGAAACGAGGCCCCAACAATAGCGCCTTGGCATAGGACCTTCCCGGTCGATTTCGCAAAACCAGGTTGCATTTCTCCAGGGTACGGTTGGCAGGTTGGATCTTTAGCAAGCCACTGGAGACACTGTCGGATTTGCCATTGTATACGTATGTGGTGACGGGGGTGCTATATTTGCATATTGTAATGCATTTGTCACATTAATCATTAATCAATGCGATTGTCATTTGGAGGGTTCAAACCACAGAAAATCTTGGGAAAGAACGCTCTTCTTTGAAGGCGGAGGGTGGTCAGAAATATCAAAAGCATATTGCAAACATTTGCAAGTACGAAAGGAACCGGATTCTGGTACTCTTTGATAAGTGGATGCGGGCGATGAAGCCACATTCGACCTTTCGCATCTCCAAAGTTCCACCCTATGCCACAAACATCAGCAATTGCAGAAGCTACTAGGGGCTCCTGGACTCGCTATTAGGAGCAAGGACGCTACTAGGGGCTCCTGGCCGTAATACTACGTAGTAACAAGAACGCTACTAGAAACAAGATGCAAACAAACAGCAATTGCGTATTCCGGTTACGACGTCCACGCAGTGGTGCAAAGGACGAATTGGGCCCTCCTAAAAGACCGCGCAAACAAGCCGCCACTCCCAAGATGCGCACAATACGAGTATTGGGCATATTGGGCATGGGTAGGACCTGTGGTTTCACAGGGGAGCGCAAACAAACTTTATCTTGGACTTGCCTCCTGTGAGCACTGTCCCTCTCCACAAACAAGTTTTTGCTGCATGTACAACATCATTTGTGCATGATCACTTGATTTGTTTGCAATTGGAGACTGCTGCACAATTCTAGAAAGGTTGGTTTTTTCTTTGGTGGGGTATCATATTGTTTCTGGTCCATGGGTGTTTCCGTGGTTTGGCTTTGCGTTTTCCCCATAGCACTCATTCGTTATGAACCGAATTGCGTGCAGTTCTTCGATGTTCTTCGTGCGCGTTTGCACCAAGGGTCGCGGAACCTGGTCCTTTCCATTTCGTTCAGCAACGCGAGGGTCTCATCTCATGATACCCAAGTTCCCAAATTGTTGGCCACTTGTTGCACTGTTGCACTTGTGCGGACTTGGCAGATGCACCAATAGACGATTTGCAGGTATTGGGAGTCTTTGGATGATGCGGGTCGTGATCCTTGGAAGACCGCCGTGCAGACGCTGAGCCACGCAATTATCGAACAGTGACTATTGAAAGCGTTCTTCGGTGTTGTATAGCTGTGCCACGTGCTGCAAAGAATTTTGAACAGATTGATCCAATAGAACTTTGATTTTGTAAGATGTTATCAGCCCGGAGCCCTTCGACTTCTAGGTGTTCTGGTCTTCTGACTGCCTTAGGAAATGTCTCACCAATGGCACTTTGGAGCTCAGTCAGCAGCAACTGGTGCCTGGGCGGCAATGCAACGCACGTCCTGGTGGTCCACATCGTGCAGTGAGCATCCGAGCTGTGGAGGACGAAAGCAAAAACTCCGTAATCAAAAAACGCGCATTCGTCTTTTGAGTTAATAGGAACGGCCTCCCCCTAATAGCGGTTGCCTCCACCCTATATAAATGTGTTGCAAATGCGAAAGCGTCGGCAATGTCCGCTCTAGTGAAAGCAGGGCCGTCCACCAGAAACCCACCGAGCCAAGCGCCAAAATTTGTTCAGTGAGTGTGTGTGTGCGTGTGCGCCCCTTGTGCTTCTTGCATGTGAGTGAGCATCTGACACAATTACGTAGGACGATGCGCAAGCAAAATAGTCCAACCTTGCGGATCACATCACTCAGAAACAGACCCCGAACCCGTGGTGGACCGTCCTGCTAGAATCTCCAGGCATGGCTGCTCAGTTTAAATTCCGTGAGGCTTGTGCACATAGCTGAGTGTGGCAGATGATGCATGCCCACACGCGCACAACAGAGCCCAGCCACATACCCCTCAGACACTTCACCGGATGTTGTTGAAGTGCTAAAAGACCTTTTCGCAGAACCACTTCGAAGTGCTGGAAGAAGTCGAAGCTGGCGGCGGCTTCGAAGATGGCGGGTTTCTATCGCAGCCCAGGCCGCACGGGCCGATAATTGTGGATATTGCTGGCTAGTCGGCAAACATGTATTCAGCAGACTGAGTTTTCTTGTTTTACTGTTGCATTTCGAGCGCTTGTTTAATTCCCGCCCGCCCTTTTGAAAAGACTTTGTTTCACACAGTGCCGACCAGCTTTCAGCCGTCTTTATAATCCTCTTCCTCTTCAAGTGTACAGTCAATGCATCGTTAATGAGATACTTTTACCCTTGGGGCCATCAGCTACCCAAGATGGCTCACAGATCAGGCATGAAGGGCGCACTTTTCGCAAATTGGACGAGATTGAAGTCTCCAAGGCATAGCTATGGTGCTTGTTTATAAATGTTTTGTCTTGAGTTTGGGCATATGAGTGCGGGTGTCTATCGCTTGAGGCCTTCTATTACCTGCATCCCGGCGCCGTATACCGCTACAGGGGCAATGAATATTTTGTTTTGGAGCTCGATGTTGTGAGGCGCAAGGCCACTGTGAAGAAAAGCGAGGTACCTCTTGCATATTACACAAGGGCTTTTGATTCCACGCAGGTGCGAATTTTGACCCGTGAAAAAGAGGCCATGTCAGGGAAGGCCAAGATTTATTGTGGGGAGATGGAATTGGAGAGCCGTGTGAAGAGTTTCAAGAGGTTCTGGAAGTCCCGGGACGTGCCACAGGAAGCGGAAGTTGAGGTGAGTTTACCCAGCTGGGGGTACACTTCTCGTGGTTTGTGGTTCGAAGATCCGCTGGGTGTGGCAAGGAGGCCGGGGCTCTTGGCTCCAAAGCAGCAAGAAGAATGGACCTGGGGTGGTGGCTGGGCTGGCGCACACGCTGCCATGCATGCTCTTCTTCGCGTGGTGCCCTTGTTTGTATTGGCTGATCGGCAGGACTTAGATGCAGCATGCGTTGATGAGCATGGCTTGCCGCCAATGGACCATCCGAGACTCATGATTTTTGATGCCAAAGATGGTGGCCTGGGCTTGTGCGATGCCGCTTTTCTACATGGTTTCGCGTTGTTGCGTGAGGCTAGACGTTTGGTGGAAGATTGCCCTTGTGAGGATGACCGTGGATGCGTGAATTGCATTATCGATGCACATTGCCGAGAATACAATCGGCTCTTGTCGAAACGTGGAGCCTTAGAATGGCTCCGAAGCTTAGAGTTTGGAGAGGCCACCGGAAGTACCGAAGAAAAAGCAACACCGAACATGGAAAAGCTTCACGCCTTAGATTGTTTGGCATGTGTGCCATGATGTGCCATGTCAATGCGCAGAAATGCGTTATTTTGTTCTTCGTTTGGTTGTGTTTTTTAATAATTATATATTTGTGTTCGCTGGTGGGACATTCTCGTTGTAACCTTGCCATCCTTTGCCTTTTGCATCCTTTTGCTTTGGTGCTGTTGTCGGATAGCGGTCCAATTCACTCCACTCATTCTGGCGAGTATCGGTGTTGGTGTTGTGTATTTCCACCGTGTGGATTTGCCTATATTACACGATGAAGTCCCTCAACCTTTCATTTTACTGCCGTAATCTATTTGCTTCGCGCACCCTACATTGCTCCAAGTATCTCCAAGTCTAGTTTGTTCTTTGTCGTGCTTCCGCCAGCTGGTACTCAACCAGGATTGCAATGCCACATCAAGTGCATGCGTGATCCCGAATCAAGTCCGATTGGTTCTCTATATAATTATATGGAAGGTCTTGTCAGCTCCGATCGACAAAACCCAAGACGATGCCTCTTCGATCCTCTTTGTATGTTTGATGTCGTCAGTGATTGCAAATGGTACTTTAGAAGGGTTGTGTACTTATCGTCGCAGCCTCTCAGCCTCAAGATGTGTGATGATGTTCTGGGCTTGTTGGGTGCCACGTCTCTTTTTGACAGTGATCGCTTCTTGTTTGAATTCGTTTGCATGGTCAGATTAGAATCACGAAGTGGGCGGTCAAGGTATGAGCCCGCATGCGCGCACAGAGAGAGAGAGAGACAGAGACAGAGAGATTTCGTGTGCCTACCAATTTAGCATAAGTTTCCGCCCATCCCCTGCCCCACCCTAATGAGGCTGTTCGGGAAGATGATGGCCAGGTATTGCTTCAGCATCAGAAACTTGGCCAGTAAAAAAAAGACACACAAAAAAAGGCAGGCTTTCAGCAAGACGGGAATAAGCCCAGGGTCAGCCTCTTCAGATGGATCAAGCAGGTTGTTTGCACTTCGGCTTTTTGACAAAAGCTGGCACGATTGACCAGGGCAGCACAGCTGGCATATTTCTTTCTGCTCCAAGTATGCACAGTCCTTGTCAGTGCTTCTTCCAGAAAGAGCAGTGCCAAAATATCATGTCAACTTCAGACTGCCCTTGACATGAGGAGGCAGGGCGCCGCGTGCCCTGCTGCTGTACCCTGGCCTTGCACGGACCATCAGCGTTGTCGCTTGTTCACGTCAGCCGTTTGAACTGGAACTGTGGAAGGGTCGGAAGACTCATTCATCCTTGTTTCCGAAGGGTAGCAGCAGCAAGGGGTTGCAACCCTCAAGAGCCAAAGGTTAATGGGCAGGTTGTCAACTGAGCAAGGTACCTGGTAACTGCCCGGTACCTGAAGTTAACCTATTGGTAGGGCGCACTTTATGAAAACAAAGGTTGAATGCAAACGTGGTCGACCTCCTATCCGTGTCAGACAGGGCTTGACTGTGCTGGACAGGATTGTTAAGTCAACTTTGTGTTGGACAGGAGCTGACGGGGGAGAGGGAGAGGGAGCACAACACTCCAGGACGTCACCATAAGCCGCTTTCCATTGCAACAGATTAATTCCGCTGGCAGCAGCAACTGCGCTGGTGGGACAGCTGCACCCTGGCATAAACACGAGGTCAATCCACACATCCAACAAGAAAGAAGATGACCTTCATGCAGTGAATGCTTAACTGTTACAAGTGCATCATTGTCATCACCCTTTTGAACTGTGCCTACTTGCCCCTCAACATCCGTTCTCACAAAGTTCTTCAAGCAAGAATCGTGTTTCGGATCTTCACCATGGCACCACAGTCGCAGCGCATTGCCAGGATATCTCGCGCTTGGATTTGGACACGGGTACGTACGAGACACTGTGCACTGTGCCGGGAATTTGCCTCAATGCATGTTCCCTCAGTGATGCGCCCTGGCACTTGACAATGTCAGTTTTGTAAGGTTCTTTGCAATTCGGCATATTATCATGCATCCATGCAGTTTTGCATGTATCCATATATATATTTATATATTAATGTAATTTTTGTATGCCAATTCAGCCCAAGCAGAAGCGTTGCTTCTTCCTGGTGCTAATGATTTCTGCACTCGCTGATCTAGCTTTGCCAGTTGGGTGTTGATGGGTTTCCACAGGGCCCGTTAGCTGCTGTTAGCTGAGGTCGACCGGAACATCTATTGCCAAGCCATCACCAATATCGGAAGGCAATTTGTGCGCATTGATTGCCAGATCCTGAGACTGTCTTTTTTTGGGCGCTAGCAACTAGAAAGGCGCAAAAGACTAAGGCTATTCAAGTCTAAACATGAATCTCTCCTCAGCATGGACTTCTTGAGTTGGTGTGGGCATTGTCTTCGAACCAAAACTCCCTCTTGCTGGGAGCAGAAATGCACGCATCGATGTATAAAACTTATATGATTGTGGAGCAGTTTGCACGACATGACAGAGCTTAGGGCAGGAATGGTTGGAAAGGTTCCTGTTTCTTGTGAGTTGGAAAGGTTTCTGTTGTGCTACAGTGCCTTACGCAAACACATGCAGCCAACATTGTGTTCAAGTCTGCAATCTCTTTTGGTCAAATGGTTGAAAGCTGTTGGGTTGGATCCGGCTGAAGTGCTCCGCTCAGGTCCAATTCCTGTCGATGGACAGACTGAAGTGGTCACAGGGTCCGTGTGCTACTTTGGCGAAATTCGCTCGACCTTTGCTGCTGGATTTGATCCAGCAAGTGGAGCTTACTACTACAAGGCGAGAATTTAGAGCGAAGCAGGTTCGCTGGAGTTGCACATGGCTCACTGAAATGGGTGTTGTAGCCTTGAGGCCAGAACAAACCCTAAAGAATACGAAAAGGCGTAAGTATACGCTAGCCCATGAAGCCCGACTGCGGCTCTATTTGACCTTTCGTTCATTCTACGGGCACAGACCGCAAAAGTTATTCTAAGTCGGTCCAAAGCAAAAGGGCTGGATGTTCTAGCAGAAGTTGTAGCATGAAGGGAGGGATATAGAGACTTCACAAGCTTATAAGTTTGGCTCGACTTTTGCTACTAAGTTACTAAGTGTTGCTTTGACATTGTCATGCGTTTTCGCAGACCAATGGTGGGGCCATCTATGAAATCACAAGGGCAGGTGACTTGCTTGCATCTAGTTCTGCAAAGCTTTCACAAAGTGAATAGGTTATTGTATGCGGTGCTGGGCGAAAAGAAGCCTTGGTGCTGTATGTCAATGTCCATCTCACTCTGTGCAAGCAACCCTTGCAGCATCATCAAATTGTGGTTGACACCCAACAATAAGGAACCCCAAGGAAATTGTTTAAAAGGTTCATTGTCAAAGCCACGGAATGCCTCCTCGCACTACACGTTATCATGCTTTATCCAACTTGCCACTGCGTACATATGCCCAAATGTATATTATATAGATATTCACATAAATATATATATATTAGATATTAGATACTTTGAGAAATTTCGTGTCGGTCACCGGACTTGGTTTTGCACATGGCATGACACGCTGTGTACCGCGGCCAACTAGGCCTTGAGCTAATCTGCTACCGGAAAAAGGTTAGCAGTCGGGCGTCCTTTCGTTCGAAGCCATTTCGTTCGGTCTGGACCCTACGATTTCCGCAGTGGTTGCACGGAGCTATCTGGTGGAGATCCACGCGGCCTTGGTTTGAGCCCACCACGCTTTGAGGAGACCTACGGCTAGCTTTGAGACTGACTCCAAGGTCACGCAGACGCGTGGGGTGACCGTGGGTGCCACTACGCTTTGCTTGGCCTTTCTGGCCACCTGAGCTCGCCGAAGCTCAAGTCGAACGACCCCTACGTGGACTTCGCCAACGACGAGAAGAACTTGGAGTGCATTTTTGGTTGAACTCGACCAATGTCAGAAGAGAAGGGACATGGCTATGCAGGAGGCTGGTCAGAGTCAGGCTTCGACTCCTCTATCCCCGCTTGGGATGGAAGAGCTGACTCTTGAGAGAGTTCAGGAGGACGGTGACTTGGTGGTTGTCTTCGATCGACCTCACGAAGACCAAAGGTTTCAACTTGGCCGCCAGGTTTGCCATGAAGCAGAAAGGTTCGGCCAGGATGAGGGCACTTGAATTCTCGCCGGAGGATTTGTCCTTTGTGCCAGAAGAAGCTGTTGAAGACCCTGACAACCCTGACGGGGATAAGATCATCCTGAAGGAGGCCGACTACACTTGTGGTGTTTGGCGCCTCATTGAGGCCTGGGAGACGATGGTTGGCAAGACAGCCAGCGACAAGAAAGGAGAACTCCGTGAACGCTTCTACATGACTTTGAAGAGGAGTTCACACGAGGCTGTGGTGAACTTTTCACTCAGGTACCGCACCCTGGTGGCTGAGATGCGGGCAGAGGGCATTGCTTTGGACGATGCTGAAAGTGCTTGGTTCTACAAACAGAAGCTGAGCTTGACCGAGGTGCAGAAGCAAATGCTGGAGACAACCCTTGGAGGCACTGCAGAGTCTTACGCTGAGTGTGAGCGTGAGGCGGTCCGCCTTTTCAAGCGGATCCACATGGTTGGAACACCAGCTCCTCCTACGCCGTGGAAGAGGCCTATGTTGGGTCGCCCTGGATCTGGCAAGGGAGGCACTTCAACTTGGAGGAGACCTTCTTCCTCGGCTTCAACTTCAGTGTCAACGAGCTCATCTAACTTCTCTCGTGGTTCTCGCATGAGCCTTGGTGCATCAGCTGTCAATGTTGCTGAACAAGACCCCTTGGTTGAGACTGAGGAGTATGAGATGGAGCCCTATGATGCTCTTGAGAGTCAAGCTCAAGAGATGCCTGAGGACTCAACTCAAGATGATGGAGCTCTTCATGCCTTGGAGGAAGAGATTGAAGTTCTGGCTTCTGAACTGGAAGCTGCAGCTCAAGAGGGCTGCGATGGTGCCGAGCTGGAAAGCTTGGAAGAACAACTCGACGGTGCTGTCGAGGCCTTGGTGACTTTGCGAGAAGCTCGTGCTCAAATCGCTGGACCGCCTGGCAAGAAGAAAGCCGGGCAATGTCATGCCTGCGGCCGTGAAGGCCAT